AGGCCGAAAAAGTCCGCCTCAATGATCTTGTCAAAATCTTCCTCTGGGATCCGGGGAAGAGCGCACTTCCGGCCCATCAAGTCGGGCTTCTTGTTGTACTGATGGAATTCATAATTCTCCCGTCTGCTGGGAGCTGACATCAGGTAGAACCTTTGCTTCCAGCTGTCGAATTTTGAGACCTTGTCCAAGGTCATCATGTATTGGGGATGCGTGGTTAGAGTGTACCACGCCCTCCAGCCGCCTGGGCTTCTGCTAAGATAATGCATACTAGCAAAAGCCTCCCATCCGGGGTTAAGCCCCTGGAACTCGCAGGCGGCAACATACCCCAGAATGTTTGTCCAAGAATTGGGGGTAAGTTGCCAGACGCCGAGGTCGTAGCCTCTCAATATTGCCTTCACCGCCTGGTGAAGGGGGAAGCGAAGACCAGCCTTAAACGCCGCCTCATAACAGCCGAAATAGCTGTTGGCGTTCTCTTGATAATCCTCCCTGGCGATGGTGCCATCCTCAGGCGGCACCCGGATTCTATACCCGTCTCCTAACGGGTGCATTTGCGTAAAGTTTTTTAAGTTCTCCTCCATTTGGATCCGGTCCTTGGAGGAGACGTGGATGTTGAAGGGATTGTCCTTCTCGTTCCACTTCTTCCTTTCTTCCTCCTCGCTATCCTCAAGCGGGGGTAAATCGTCGCTGCTCTCAGAGGTAGAGGCGGAGCTGTCGCTCTCCGTCTCCTCCTCATTCTGGGTCAAAGGGGCTGAGACGGCCTCATTGCCGCCTTGGTCGCACTCTTCCAAAAAGGAATCAGCGGGAGTTGAAGGGGCGCGCAGAAGGGATCTCTCCAGAGCCGTCTGGTCTCCCTGACCAGACGTTTCTCCCTCAGGCGTTTGGCCACCTGAGCCTTCGCTTCTGTAGTTTGGATCAGTGGCCGTCTGCATAGTCCGAGCCACTGTGTCATGCACAGACACATAAATGGTCGGAATCCAAGGCAAAGGGTGGTCCCAACACCCCGAGACGACACTCCCAGTCCTAGACTCAGCCGTCCTAGGTGACCGGCTAGACTCTAGCCTAGGTTGTGCCGTGTGTGTTGGTGATGCATCCATTTATTGCAAGAAATATGTACAAGCGGTGAAACAAGAAAAAGAGCTGAGAGAGGCAGAGACGGTACCTTTGGATTTGATATCTGAAAACGGACGGGTCCAACTGGGTTGATGGAGTACGAGCTTCCTTGCTTGCGCCTGACTCAAACGGATGACTTTGCTCTCTCAAAGTTCTCTCTCTAGAAAATTTTTGTAAACGTACAAAATTATGAGGATAAACGGCTATATATAGAGGGTAAATACGAGGGCATTTCCGTAATTTACTTGGAAGGAGGGCATTTCCGTAATTTACTCGGAAGGTGAACGGTTACTTCTTTATGGTAAAATTACCACCAATCGGAGCGTGACACATGTCACAGATGCCACGTGGCGTGCCACGTCATATATGTGAGGGGCAAATATTTAGGGTAATTTTACCCCGCCACGTGGTCCAACCAGAGGACGACACGTGTCAGCTTAAGGTTGGCCCAAAGTGGACCAATCTCCGCCTGACACGTGTCACTCCAGAAATTAAGGGAAAAAGGCGGCCTTCAGGCCCAAATCCCGAGAAAGCCGCAAAGCGGCGCAACCCACCAATGATTAGGGTTCAGTGACCTAATCAGGGGCACAAATCCCAAAGACCCTATAAACAGGGAGATGTCCCTCTTTTTGAGGGCACGTTTTACCATTTATTATAAACAGTCCCTGTTATAGAGACATCTGAGCTTGGAACCCGAGCAGATACCCACCTAAATTTCCGCATCTTTTCCTTTCTCTACAAGTTACTAACTTGTGCGTCGGAGGCGGAGCACCACCCAACAGGTGTCTCCGTTTATTTTGCAGGTACAACTCACACCGGATCAATCTTCGTGTTGTAACTCTCCCAAGGGACAAAAACACCCAAAACATGGAGTGTAATAATTTTTTGTAAACTAAATTTTGAGTGAATAAATAATTTAACTATTGTATTAGTATTTGCGTATACTAAACACATCTTCCGACAACAAGTAACGAAATATATTTTTAAAAAGAGATATTTTAAGAAACCTGTTATGGTAATATTATTTCTCTTTGATAAAAGTACAAATTTGTTGGGAAAAAATAAATTATATCACCTAAGAGACCTGTTATTGTAACAACAGGTCTCTTTGTTCAAAAACATTGTTGTGTAATACATTTCACCTAAGAGATCGCCTAATACTAGTTTTAAAATAGGCGGTATCTTAGAATTTAATATAAAAAAGGCGCACTATTTATGTTGTTGTTGCTGACTAATGATAATAGCACCTAAGAGACCGCCTATCAGATACAGGCGGTCTCTTTTCGTATCAGTTTATTTTTTTTTTTTCGGAATGGGGGTACAACTGTAACTCTATGTACCCCTAGATCCGCCACTGGGATGATTCTTAGGGACTATTCTTTTTAGCTTGATTTCAATTCAGTTCAGTTCAGCTCAACTCTAACTGTTCGATTGAGTTCAGTTCCTAATTTCATTCTCTCATAAAATATTCATTCCAATTCAATTCAGTTCATTCCAGCTCCAATTATTTCACTTTAGCTCAGATCCAATCGCATGGAACAAAGGATATAGGCAGGCATATGTTCGAATAGATTTTGAAGTTGTTGTTCGTCTAATAGTGATGATACTCCACTCAACTATCCTTATTATATCCACATTATCCGCAAATGTAAGTCCCTTATGGCTAGAGAGGGATGGAGTATTGTGATCAAACACTGTTATTGAAAAGCGAACAAAGTGGCCGATTGATTGGCGAATTTTGGTACAACGCTAGAGCAAAAACTGATCTTATTTGAGGCGATCCCGGTGGATCGTTGTGCCGTTTTATTGGAGGATTTGCGTAGGGTGGCGACTCCTTGTAGGGGGTCGAGTTGAGGAAACTATTGTTAGCTAGTAGTTTTCTTTATAGTTTTTGGTGGTTTTTATTTTGTTTGTTTGCTTGTTTTTGTCTTCTTGTACGGGGCTTGCCCCTCAGTTTCACCAAAAAAAATAAAAAAAATAAAAACATATAGAAAGACTAAGGGCCTGTTCTCATACGATTATTTTCATTTTAGTTCAGTTCAGCTCTAATAAGTTCAGTTTAGTTTAGTTCAGTTTAGCTCCAATAAGTTCAGTTCAGCTCCTAATTTCCTTCTCTTATAAAATATTCATTTCAGTTCAGCTCAGTTTAGCTCTAATAAGTTCAGTTCAATTCAGTTCAGTTATATTAAGTTCAATTTAGTTCAACTCATTTCATTCAATGAGAACATGCCCTAATTCAAGAGTATGTATTACAGGGTACATGAAAACTTATGTTTCTATACATAGGTAAACAATATAGTCAAAGTAAACTTATGTTTCTATATATAGGTAAACAATATAGTCAAAGTAAGTATATAAATAATGCAAAAGTCAAATTGTTATGATTATTATTATTCAATGAATTTATATAATATTCAGTAAAATAAGTTTAGTTTAACAAAAATAATTTAGTAAAAACCAATCAGTGTATTTAGTGTGCAGCTAACCCCTATAACACTGACTAACCATTGATCGAGTAGTTCAATAAAATAATTTCAATTTGACAAAAAAATGAATTGGAGAGAACAAGGCCTTAGTCTATAATTAAACAATGGAAATTTTGACAATTATCACCTTCTATTTAGTCCATTTTAACAATTACCACATTCTATTTTTTTTTTGAAAATTACCACCTTCTATTTTCAAAAATATCAAAAGTTACCACCTTCTTACCTCCCAACTCCACATGACGTCATTTTGGGCTAATTCTTTCCCTTTCCTCCCTATTTCCCTCACATTTCTCATTCCTAACTCGATTCTCATCCCCCCTTTCATTTTTTTCCCCAAACAATCAAAAACACTTCAATTCACTCCTCCAAATCAAAATTGACGAACAATTATTGGTGGTTTGGGGGAAAAAAGTGAAAGGGGAGATGAGAATTCAAATAGGAATGAGAAATGTGAGGGAAATAGGGAGAGAAGGGAAATAATGAGCCCAAAATGACATCATGTATAGTTACACTTTAATTTTATATGAAGAGAGCAAGCCATTAAAGAGAATTAATGGGGGATTATTATAAGGTGTATTTTGATAGGGGAAAGGTGATGGCTCCATTTTCGCTCCAAATTTACTTTACAGAGTAGAATTGTTTAGCGGGAATGTGGTTTATCTTATTGGAACTTCTTTAAACTTAACTAATAAACTCAATTAAGTTTATTGAGACTGATTTTGGATATGTTAGATTTATAATACCTTATTAATTAAAGCTAATTACATTAGCCTAAATTTGAGAGTATAACTTTAATCATCTCATAAATCATGGTATATTATAAATAAATTCTCTTAATGGTCATTATATTCATGGAAAGCTATGTTTAATGTAAATACTACCTCCATTTCATAATATAATGGAATAATATCATTTAGAAAGTAAAAAATATATGTTTAAGTACGTTTGTAGTGGTATTAATGTATTAGCAAGGCGGAGAAACATCATTTCGAGGCTAAAGAAAAAATGAAACTTAATCTGGAAACAAATTAAACAATACTAACAAGAAATAATAATATCATATTTAAAGAAACAAAAATCATTATAATGCTAATAAATAGCTGTCAATAATAAACAAACAACCTTAAGAACTACTACTAAGGACGACTATGCCTACTAGAGGTACGTAGCTATTTCAATTCAAATAATTAATAGTTCTACGAGTGGTAGTATATTAACGAACTTATTCAAATCTCACTAATAAATCCTAAATTAATTTAATATATACTAATCAATACTTAATGAGCATGAGTTGAACGAGTAGCACTAGAGCACTCAGCATTAACAAGAGCCTGAACAAGTGAATCCTGGAATTTCTCAAGCCCTGAGCAAAATTCAGCATTGAAAGAAATCTTGTTTTTCTTAAGAAGTTCTAGTAGATTCTTCAAAGGAAGTTGCCTCGGATGCAACATCTGCAGAGGTTGGACTAGAGCTTGGTGCACCGGGCCATGGGAAGATGGGGAATTTAGGGTGTGGGAATGCAAATGAAGGGAAGCCGGGACCAGAGCTTGGTGCACCGGGAAATGGGAACTTAAACCCGGGGCCAAGGTGTGGGAATGGAAATGAAGGGAGAGGACCGGAGCTTGGTGCACTAGGAAATGGGAACTTAAACCCAGGGCTAGGGTGTGGGAATACAGGGAACCCGGGACCAGAGCTTGGTGCACCAGGAAATGGGAACTTAAACCCAGGGCCAGGATGAGGGAATGCAGGGAACCCGGGACCAGAGCTTGGTGCACCAGGGAATGGGAACTTAAACCTAGGGCTGGGGTGTGGGAATGGAAATAAAGGTAGAGGACCGGAGCTTGGTGCACCAGGAAATGGGAACTTAAACCCGGGGCCAGGGTGTGGGAATGGAAATGAAGGGAGGTCGGGACCAGAGCTTGGTGCACCAGGGAATGGGAACTTAAACCCGGGGCCAGGGTGTGGGAATGCAGGGAAGCCAGGACTAGAGCTTGGTGCACCAGAAATTGGGAACTTAACCCCATGGAAACCGAACCGAGGCCGACCAAACCCCCATTCAGGATTTGCAGCTTGAGTTTGCTTTTGTTCAAGGGCAAATGCAGACTGTGCCACCAAAAGAGTTAGGAGAAATGCAACGATTATCTTCTGCTAAGATTGAATGAACAAAACTCAATGACTTGATTGTATTGATTACTCTCCACCACATATATAATACAAGCTTAACCCTATTGTGATAGGATTAGGAAACTACCAAATATATATCATAGAGATATTCTAGGCATAAATTATGATACAAAATATATCCTAAAATATTCCCAAAATATATCCCGCAATAACCCCCCCCCCCAAGTTGGAGCATGTGGGTCATAAATGCCCAACTTGGAAAGAAGATGATGAAACTGGTTCTTTCCAAGCGCCTTAGTGAAAATATCCACCAATTGTTCCTTAGTGGAAACATAAGATGGTGCAATTAGTCCTTCTGTAATGGCGTCACGAACAATGTGACAATCAATCTCAATGTGCTTCGTCCGTTCATGAAAAACTGGATTTCTGGCTATATGAAGTGCAGATTGACTGTCACAAAACAATTTTATTGCTTTAGGGTGTTGAACCCCCAAACTCAAAAGTAAAGCTTTTAACCATTTCAACTCATGAGTACACGACGCCATTGATCTATACTCAGACTCGGAGGAAGAAGAAGAAACTATAGGTTGTTTCTTGGTTTTCCAAGAAATAGGAGAATGACCAAGAAACACAAGCCAACCTATAAAAGAACGACGCGTAAGAGGACACGCCGCCCAATCCGAGTCACACCATCCCTGCTAAGTCAGATCACTATCTGCACTCAACAAAATACCTTGTCCCGGGGTGCCCTTCAAATACCGAACGACCCTCAGAGCTGCATCCCAATGCTCAACACGCGACTCTTGCATAAACTAGGAGAGAATATGAACAGAATAAGCCAAATCAGGTCTCGTAACTGAGAGATAGATGAGCCTCCCTACTAATCTGCGATATGACTCAGGATTTTCCAGAACATCACCATTAGCAAGACCAAGCTTATGATTTTGTTCAATCGAAAATCCACTTGGTTTTGCCCCTAACAACCCTGCTTCAGAAATAATATCCAAGGTGTATTTCCGTTGACATAAAAATAAACCAGATTTACTACGAGCAACCTCTATTCCCAAAAAATATTTCAAAGGGCCAAGATCCTTCATCTTAAAACAATCAGAGAGATAAGCCTTGAAAACAGATAATGCAGCGGAATCATTCCCAGAAACAATAAGATCATCAGATAAACCAATACATTAATCTGAACAGTACCCCTAGTGTATGTAAACAGAGAGTAATCAGAGTAAGATTGTAGAAAACCATACCCAAGCCGTAGTCAATTTTTCAAACCACACCTTGGAGCCTGTTTCAACCCATACAAAGATTTTCGCAGACGACACACCAGAGTTGGATCCGAACTCTCAAAACCTGGAGGTAATTTCATATACACCTCCTCTTCCAAATCACCGTGTAGAAAGGCATTCTGAACATCCATTTGATGAAGCTCCCAATATTTAGAAGTGGCTATAGCAAGGAAAGCCCGAACTGTAGTCATTTTTTCGACCGGAGCAAAAGTTTCACCATAATCTATACCTTCCTGCTGATGATTACCAAAAACAACCAAACGTGACTTAAGACGTTCAATATCACCATTCGACAAATATTTTGTCTTGTAAACCCACTGACTACCTAGAGCTTTCTTGCCGGGAGGAAGATGTCTAAGGTCCATGTTCCATTGTCTTCCAATGCCCTGATTTCTTCTTGCATTGAACGACGCCAACCATCAGATTTCATTGCTTCTTTGAAAGATTTTGGATCTTTACCCTGAACAACTGCTGCAAGAAACTTGCGATAATTGACAGAAAACATGTCACAATTTATATAGTGTGCTAAAGGATAAGGCGTACCTGAAGGAGGGATCGGAGACGGAGGGGACGGAGATGGACTATTAGCAAAAACAGAGTATGTCACATGATCACAAAGCTTCACCGATCGGTATTTCTCACGATGCCCCCTACCCAAGACCTCGGGTTGAGGCTGCTGGTCGTGTGGCGCTGCTGGGGTGTCGCTGCCACTCTGCTCGGGGTTGCTGCCAAGATCGGCAGTGCTGCTGGTCAGCTCGCAAGACCCAGCGCCCGCTGGAATTTCCTCGGGCTGGCTAGAAGCTGCACTTGCGTGCTGGTCAGCTCTGCTAGCGTCCGCAGCCTGCTCTGTATGCGGGGCTGCTTGCTCTGTGTACGGAGCGGGCTGCTCTTCCCCACCAAAAAAAATTTTATGTTCACCAACATCACCCCATGTCTCATTTTCTAAGAAATCCTCATGAATGTCACGGTCATTATCATACATTGTGGGCACTATATTGACAGCTTCTGGGCTAGCATATGGAAATACTCCCTCAACAAATTTCACATCACCAGACACCAAAAACACCTTATACTCAAGATCATATAACTTCCATCCTTTCTTCCCAAAAGGATATCCCACAAAAACACATTTTCTACTCCTACTAACAAACTTGTCACCATTCGTTTTTTGATTATGGGCAAAACACAAACACCCAAAAGTACGAATAACATCAAAGGAAGGAGGTTTATTAAATAGGATTTCAAAGGGTGTTTTAGTTTGTAGCAAAGGTGTTGGAGTACGGTTAATTAAATGAGCGGCGGCAAGAACACACTCCCCCCCAAAAATAAATTGGCAAATTTGCTTGAAACATCAAAGCTCTCCTGACATTGAGAATGTGTTTATGTTTTCGCTCAACCCTCCCATTTTGCTGTGGAGTACCCACACAAGAAGTTTGTAAAATAATGCCCGTAGCAGAAAAATAATCAAGAAGACAATTAAACTCAGTACCATTATCACTCTGCACAACTTTAATTGTTTGAGAAAATTGTCTATCAACCATTGCAATAAATGCCATAAACATTCTAAAAACTTTTGTTTTATCAACCAACAAATAAATCCAGACTGCTCTAGAATAATCATCAACAATAGTAAAAAAATAACGAGCTCCACATGACGAAACATGTCTATATGGACCCCACAAATCACAATGTATTTTCTCAAAAACTCTAGAAGCCCTACTATCACTTAACGGAAATTGTTCTCTAGGATGTTTAGCACGCATACATACTTCACACCCCTTATCAAGACAATCTTTATTACTACTAACATGAGGAAGCAACTTAACTACTTTCTCGGAAGGATGACCCATGCGACGATGCCACAACTCCAAGCTTGAAATATCTTTGTCAACACCAACATGATGCACCGAATCCGATTTGCTAAAATAGTATAGTCCGTCTCTCCTAGCTCCCGTTCCAATCAGCTCCTTCGTTTGGTCCTGTATAGCACACATATAAGGGTTAAATTGGACAATACAATTAAGTTCATCTGTTATTTGTGAGACAGAAAGCAGATTACAACTCAAATTAGGGACCAAAAAGAACTCCAGTTAAAGTAAGCTTGTCCGACAAACGAACAGAACCAACCAAAGAAGCCACAACAGTGTCATCGTTGGGTAGACCGACGGGACATTCAAAACTCTTTGTACCAAAAAACCAAGATTCGTCTCCGGTCACATGATGTGTTGCCCCTGTGTCAATAATCCAAGAGGTAACATCAAACTTACCATTCAAGCGATGCTCGGGAACATTAGCATTACCGAACAAACCCGTAATAGCCTTCCACTGTTCACTTGAAAACACTTGACCATGAGAGGAACTGTCAGTTGAAGCACCCAAAACTGCATTGGCCCGCACCGTACTTTGACCCCGGCCAGCGGTGTACCTCCCCCCCTGACCACTATCATTCGAAGAAGGTCGACCATGAAGATCATAACACTTACTCTCAATGTGACCCTTCTTCTTACAATAATTGCAAGTCTTGTCAGACCAACAATTAGAAGTCTCATGGCCTATTTTCTTGCATTTACCACACATCGTACCACCGTCACGGCCACGGTCAGAAGCTCCCCTGCCTGCCCCTGTTTGAACAGCAAAGCCTAGAGCATCAGGAGGCTTTTGTTCATGCTCTAGCTTTGCCGTACGCACTCTTTCATCTTGCACCACCAATTGATATGCTCTATCTAGACTAGGGAGGGGATCTTGAGACAGAATATTGGTACGCAAGGAGGCATAAAAATCAGAATAAAGACCCATTAAGAAATCATGTAATTTAGCTTGTTCACGCCTAGCTTCATGCAATTGCCCAGCCGTACACTTTGAACAACAAGAACAAGAAATTAAAGGTTCATGGTGATCTAATTCTTGCCATAAAGCATGAAATTTACCATAATAAACAGAAACAGACATCGATCTAGTTTGTTCACACTTTGCAATCGATGTTTTTAATTATTGAATTCTAGGGCCATTGGTTTGAGCAAAACGTTGCTTGAGATGTTGCCATAAAAGTCTAGCTTCACGAAATTTAGAAAGGGACGACCTTACCTCTGGATCGATGGTGTTGGTAATCCATGAAATTAACATTGCGTTGATAGTCGTCCAGTCTGATTGAGTACACGGATGTACAGGGGCTAAGATCGAACCATCCAAAAATCCGAATTTTCGTCGAGCCTCCAAGGCAGTCTGCATATCCGTAGCCCAATCGTCATAGTTATCAGTTTTGAGTTGTGTAGGGGTAATAAAATCCCCAGGTCGATCTTGCGACCCAAGGTAAAACGGTGAATTTGGTTTTATTTCTATGAAAGGGGGTGGCGGTGGAGGTGGAACATCATCTCCAGCCATTGTTTACGGGAAAAAAAAACTCAAAAAATAAACCTTGCTCTTGATACCATGCTAAGATTGAACAAAACTCAATGACTTGATTGTATTGATTACTCTCCACCACATATATAATACAAGCTTAACCCTATTGTGATAGGATTAGGAAACTACCAAAAATATATCATAGAGATATTCTAGGCATAAATTATGATACAAAATATATCCTAAAATATTTCCAAAATATATCCCGCAATATCTTCATTCTTTTTGGTTAGTGAATGAGGGTTATTTTTTTTCTCTTTTACGTGGATTTGTTGTGTGATGCTTGGAAGGAAGCTTAAGGGGTATTTATAGAGTGAATGAGTGTGACTAAAATAATGCTCAAGTCTTTAAAATTAATATTAATATTTAAACATTTGATATAGCGTTATCTTTTAGTTAGTTCGTTGTGAAAAAATGAGAATGATAGAATGTATTTTGCAGTATATACGGTTAACATTTATGGCTTTTAACCTAAAAAACTGGATTATATATAAAGTATGCACATGAGGTTTATCGCTTTATCATTTTACTAGTTTTGTGCCCCGTGCAATGCCCGGGTTGTTTATTGAATTGTAAGATAAATTTTTAATTTATATATCAAATTTTAAAATATATCATTGATACAAATTAGTTAGGAATTGGATGTGCTTTTGTGACGATTTGCTATCTAATAGGCATGTAATGGCTAATAATAATGTCGGTGAAAATGTTCGATTTAATACACTAAAAAAAATAGCAAAAAAAATTAAATGAAATAAATGTTCAAAGCCCTTTGGGTTGAACCGAACCTAAGACTTTGGGAAAGAGTTGAACATTTCTTGACTCATAACCTGAAGTGACCCTATTCG